GCGGCTGCGCTTGCGGCGCAGGCAGCGGCGGCGGCCGCTGCTGCACCGCATGATCGTGACGGAGCGTCTCCTGCTGGCCGATTTGGTGTCGTTCGGGGTGAAGGGGCGTGCGAGAAGGGGAAGGCGAAGGTAGAGCCCGACATCGCGAGCCCCAGCAAAGGGGACAGCGCGTGCGAGAAGTGAAAGGCGAGGATAGAGCCCGACACCATCCGCTACAGCGCTGTTATCAGGGCATTCGAGAAGGGGAAGCCAGATCCAGGTGGAAAGTGCGAGAAGTGGAAGGCGGATATAGAGCCAGACATGAGTAGCCACAGCACTGGGAACAGCGCGTGCGAGGAGTGGAAGGCGAAGATAGAGCCCGACACCATCAGCTACAGCGCTGGGATCAGGGCGTGCGAGAATGGGAAGGCGAAGATAGAGCCCAGCGAGAAGTGCGAGAAGTAGAAGGCGACGATAGAGCCCAACACCATCAGCTACAGCGCTGGGATCAGTGCAGAGGTCAACGTGGGCGAGCTGTTCCGAGACTTCGCCGCGACCACGGCGGAGGTGGCCAGTTCTGCCCCTCCCGTACCCACTGAGTCGAATGTTGTGGGTGCGGATTGCAAGCAGATGTAAAGTTCGTGATTTCGAGCTTCTAGGCGAATGCCTCCCAGTCCACTGTCGGGAGCGAGTTCTTTCGGCCACGAGTCTGGAGGCGTGGAAGGGGGCATCGGCATCGAGGGGTACTTCGTTCGCTGAATTGCCCGGGCCTCCGATCTTACTTCATGACTTCGTCATTGGTCTCATCTCCTCACATCTCTGCTCTCTCCACTCTCCGGGAATCTCCATGATCTCTGCTCCATGGCTCCCAGAGCAAGGCTGTCAACCATAATCGGCGGGAAACTTCCACCAAAAGCCAGCATGTGGAACCCAAGACCACAAACGCCCGCCGAAATCGGCTGCACACTGTCGCCGGGTTCTTCTCACGCCCGGGACCCAAGATCTGGAACGGGAGCCCCAGAACTGAGCCGTCCCCCGAAGTCGGCCAAAAACTCCCAGGAAGCCAGGAGCCCAGCCGCTCATCGAAATCGGGCCGACGCCTTCGCCATGGCCTTAGGGTCTCGGGAATCCTGGAACATGGAACCTGGCAGCCCACGGAAACCTGCCCGTCAGCTTCGCCAAAGCCTTCAGGTATTCGCGAGGCCCCTTTCGGTGCAAGCACGGATTAGGAATCATGTGCTCGGATGATAGACGGTTCCATTTCAAAACGGAGTTCCCGCTTGAGACTTCCTCACACGTGATGACCACACCTGTAGAACTATGAAACGGCTACGCGGGTGGAGGGGCGGCGGTTCCACCTCGAATGGGGGGGCTGCCTGTTTACGTGTGCGTTTCAACTGCGTCGAGGGAAGGAGGGCGGATCGTTGTCGCAGCAGGGCCATTGCCTTAATGGTAGGGCAATGGGACGCTCATCTTTCAAGGGGGCATTTCCAGTAGTGACACGGCATGTTTGTAGGGATCTTTGACGACTCGGGACGAGAGGGTTCCCTGAAACATCGTTGATGCACCCTGGGGTTCCCCGAATCCTCCGTCCTCCGAAGGTTTCGTAGGTTTCGCACATGAGGCATGTCATCCACCCCTCCTCCTCCTCCTCTTCCCTCCTCCTCCTCCTCCTCCTCCTCCTGTTCCTCCTCTCATCCCCTCCCGCGCGTGCAGGAAACACGGGTGGAATGGAATTTCCCGGAATCCTCAAGACCACTCCCCCGCACTGATTGCCAACGTGGACCCTGAACACCAAGTAGTTTACTGTACTCTCTGTGTGCGCTCGATGTGGTGCAACAGATGTGATACAGCATGCGTGGTGAGATCAAATCTGTGCATGGTGCCGTGTGCGTGGTGCAGCCTATGTGCTATGTCAACCTATCTGGTGCAATCGACGTGCTCCGATCTATTTGGCCCAGTCTACGGGATGCAACGCATGTGGCGCAATCTGCGTGTGTGTGTGTGTGTGTGTGTGTGCGTGTGTGTGTGTATGTATGTGTTCGTGTGCGTGCATCCGTGCGTGCGTGCGTCAACCTACGTGAGGCACCGTATGATGCGCACTGTCCTCCAGCATGACCTCAGGGCGGACCTCCCGACCGCTGGGGCACCACAGGGAGCCAGCCATAGGGCTCAGCCCACGGTGCCCCGAGGCGCCTGCTCCACACATCGCGACGCGTGGGGCATCACAGGGCACTAACCGTCAGGCACCGTACCAGGGCAGCAAGGCTGGCAACGCTGCTGCCACCGATGCCGGCGCACTGCTTTCCCGCGGGTAGGAATCGTTGCGCTCGCTCCCCGTCCGTGCGCCGCGGGGCCAGGACCTCCGGCTCACCCCACCTGCCCGGCGGCGCGGCACCAGAAGTCGCGACAACTCGGGCACAACAGGCCACCAGCCACAGAGGCACCGTGGCGGCCGCCAGCAGTCGCGGCAGCTCGGGCTTCGCCGGCCACAGGGCGCCGCCAGATAGGGCACCGCCCACTTGGCACCGGTGCGGCGACCAGAAACCACGACGGCTCGGGCTTCGCTGGGCACCGCCAGTGGCACAGGGCACGAAATAAAGACTGTCACAACTGGGGCTCACGAGGGCAGCAGCCCTTGAGTCACAGCCCGTGGGGCCGCAAGGCGGCCGCCTGAAATCGCGGCAGCTCGGGCTTATATCACAGGGCACCAAGACGGCCACAAGACATCGCGACAATTCGGGCATCACATGCCACAGGACATCGGGCACCGCCCACGACGGGCACCATGGCGGCCACCAGAAATCGGGACTATTCGGACATCGTATGCCACCAGCCTGAGAGTACCGCTCGTAGGGAAACAGTGCTGCCACCAGAACTCACTACAACTGGGGAGCCATGCGACATCAGTTATAGGCTAGGGTAGCACAAATACGGTACCAAGGCGACCCTCAGAAATCGTGACAAGCGGTGCACCATAGGCCATCACCTCCTCCTCCTCCTCCTCCTCCTCCTCCTCCTCCTCCTCCTCCGCCTTCTCCTCCTCCTCCCTCTCCTCCTCGTGCTCATCTTCCCATCCCCAGGTGAGCTCGAGCTCAGCTACTCGCATTGATCCCCTTGTCGCTCTCCTCTTCCTCATCTCCACCTCATGCTCCTCCTCCTCCTCCTCCTCCTTCTCCTCCCCTCCCCTTCCTGAGTGAGCTTCGTGCCTCCTCGTTCCCCCTCCCTCTCCTCCCCATCCTCCTCCTTTTCCTGCTCCCCCTCCCTCGTCACTATCATGCTCCTACCCATCCTCGTGCTCCCCCTCCTTCTCGTCCCCCTCCCCAGGCGGTCTCGGGGTTTCCTGGTTCTCCTTCTCCTCGTCGAGCTTCGCCATCCGCGCGCGGTTTGGCCGCTGCGGAGGGGGGGGAGGGGGCCGGGCACCGAAGCCGCTCAAACAGCGGGCCGCTGCGAGCCACAACGACGACACCGATCACCACGGCAGCGACCACGACGGCGACCACGGGCGCCGCAAAACAAAGCAGCGGCCGCCGCTTGATTCGTCGACTTCGGCATCGGGAGGCCGTTTCCCAGCCTCGGGGCCGTCAAAAAGCGGCTCGGGCTGAAAAGCTGGCGCCCCGGGGACATCGTCGACGCCCTGGGGGGCCGACGTCGAGAATCTCGCCACCGCTCGGACGTCCATTCCCCGTGTTTTTGTTCGGTTTCGTGCGTATTTTTGTTCGCCAAATGATCAAGGATTCTCCTCGGTGGTTCTCGCCGAGAAGAAGATGCACACGTCCGAGCGATGCCAGGGAACAGAGGCCGCAGCTTCGGAGGAGAAGGGAGAGGGCAGCATATGCACGACATCCAGGTCTCGTAGGATTCTTTTGGGCGGTCTCGGCCTGCGTGGACGGCGGATGGCCGGACGCAGGGGACGACGAACGCCGCCCCGCGGAGCGGAGCGGAGCGGAGCGGAAGCTGTCGCAGGGCTCCGCGAGGAAGCTGCCGGCAGGGCCAGGGCCCGCTCCCGTGCTGGTGCCATCGTCCTTCAGATGTTCCCACACCTCTGATGTCGCTCCCTGTGCCTCATCGTCGCGACCAGCAGTTGTCAGCATCGGCGGCGAGCGAAGGGGGGGAAGTGAGAAGGAGAAGGCCTTCTCAGAACGGCGGCGGGACTTCTCAGAAGCCTTCGCGCCTTCGTCTTCGGGGGAGGCTTTGAAAACTTCTCAGAAGGCCAAGGGACTTCCGATCCTTCTAGGAGAAGGCCTTCTCCTTCTCATTTCCGAGGGGGCCACATGCGAACCCTGCCTCTACCCCCCACAACTTCTGAGGGGGAGGGTGGGGTCCACGTCGCTCGGGAGCTCCCGAACGAAGTGAACCCCACCCTCCCCCTTAGAAATCGTGGGGGGTAGGGGTAGGGCTCCCAGACATGCGACGTCCTGATTTTTGTTGCAGGACGGCGTCCCCGGAAGTCCCGACCCTTTCCCCCGGGCCGGCTTTTCATCCCGAGCCGTGTTGTGACGGTCCTGGGGCCCGGGCGAGGGCCCCCAGGGGCCGAACATAGCGAGCAAACCCGCCGCCCGGACTTTTTTACGACGCGATCGTGTCCGGGTGCGCGCGTGGCCCCCTCATGCCCCCCCCGCGGGGCTCGCCGCCGACGGCACAGCAGCCAGCCCGCGGTTCCCTGGTGCCCTCTGGGTCTGGCTCGGCCGGAGGCACCCTGGCTCCCCTCCTCGAGGCCCCCCCACAGATGGGGTCGGAGGGAGGAGCAAGGGAGGGAGGGAGGGAGGGAGGGAGAGAGGAGGATTTTGGCATGAACTGCAGGGTGACGACAAAAAGCGGACGGGTGGCACCACCACCAGGCGATCTCCCACTGATGGAGAGGATCCCCAGTGTTGGCCCGCATGCCCGCCTACCTCCACGGCACAGGCTCTATCGACACGTCCTTGCGTGTCGGATGGATGCCTTTGCATATCTGATTGAAAGACCAAGTCTGCTTGGCCGTGGGGGCGCTACATTATTTAGCCCTCCCTCTTACATAGCTAATAGTAGCATACGAATGGCACTTCAGGCAAGCTGTAAAGAAGGAACCATCCGGAACTAAAGCGAAACCGCTTGATGCCCCAGAGCCCTCAGGGACGGCCTATCGAGCTTGGAGCACTCCCCTCGCGGCGGAAACTTGGGACCTTTCTGAGAGAGCAAGCATTGTTGGCACCTCGAAAACCCAGGACGATCCCCGATGAGCTCCCAAGCCCACGCGTGACCTGGCCCCTTTGGGGCCGAAGGCTCTTCGGGGGAGGGGCCCATGGGCAAACAGACAAATCAATTCTCGGTCACACAGGCAGTATCTTGGCCGCGAGCGCACAGACTGCCTGCGAGACACGCATCTGGCAATCCAGCTGCTGTAATTCTGCCTCCGACGGCCGCGGGTGAAGAGATGCGCCGAATTTGGCGGCCTTGTCGGCTTCGTCATTGCCCGTCCTCGGCCAGCGTTCTCGCTCTGAGATGCCCGCCTCCAGCGGGTCCTCATGGGCTTTGACCTTCGAAACTCCGTCCACCCACCTCCGACCCAGCCGAAACATCATCATAAGTCCAGCGAAGGGCTTCTCATAACCGAGCTGCACTTCGCTAGCCTTGCTGCAGAGGGAGACCACATTCTCACAATCCGAGTAGATGGTGGAAGGGGGCTTCAACCTCGAGCCCCGCTCGCGCAATGCCAGCAAACTCTGCGCACTGCGACGTCTGGATAAAAGGGGGTATGCGCGGGCCCCGACAGCACTCCAAGCCTACGCCCCTCTTCAGAGATCATGGCCAACCCGTAACCCGCTCTGGAGAGTTCGCTGATCACATGCCTGCGGCAACTTCCGCCACCACAAATGTTGCCCGAAAAACCGCCACCTTCAGGGGGGGCTTGCCCCCAACCGTCCTGGCCTGGAATTCACTGTCCTCAGGGGAGGGCCTAGGGGACGAATCCCCAGGGTGAGGAAAAAAACCTCGAAGAAACAACGACTCATGGGCAGGGTCGGACATATCCACGCCAGCGGCAGCAATCAAAAATGTCAGACTTCACCAACACTTCACGGAAAGAGGAGACGCTCGGACAGGCCCACAGACGGTGCTGGACAGTGTCCCCAGGCTGCCCGCAGAGAGCACAGAAATCGGAGACCTTGTAGCCCGCCTTCTCGGCTCTGTCGTACGTGCAGAGAAAGAGAGCCTCACAAGCCAAACTGCGAATGGGCCCGTGTTCGTTGTCGGTGTACTTCGATGACCTCAGACGGTTGCGAACCACGTCGCAGCAAAGCCTCTGCTCACGAATGCCAGATTTGCGGGCAGCTTCGCGCTCGAGGCTCCTGAGTGAGGCGGCGTGCAACATCTCCTTGGGCATCGAAGGCGGAACATCCGTGAGCTGCAGCGATTCCCCGAAGTCGCTGACGCGCGTGAAAGGACCGCTCATGTTCCAGTTGATCCTCTTCGGGGAAAGCCGCAGTGCGGAGATCGCACCTGGGACCTCACGCCAAGACGGCTCTGGGCGGCTAGACACCACCTCCCAGCCCTCTCGCAACTGGGCCCAACTCAGTGAGTATGGGTAAGAGCGTGTCTGTACCGCCCAAACCTCCTTGGCGCAACGCAGGATAGGGGCAGTAGCGCCGAACCAGACGGGATCATCATGCGCAATGCCCGGAATCGGACAGCCCGTTGATTTCCGAACCATGCAGAATCCCAGGGAGGGCCCCAGAGATCCAGATGCGCTGAGTAAATTTTCAAAGGCTACACCACATGCGCGTGAGCTTTCCGGTGCGTTTCTTCAGGTAGTCGACCCGAACCCTGAACTTGGCCCCACGCCTAGCAGCTCGCCGAGGTCTACCTCCAGCGTCGTCGATCCCCAAATTCACCGCGCGGTCGGTAATGATGCCTGCCAGGGGGCCTAAGAACTTACACGTGGCCAGGGCGACTTCCTTGCTGGAGCTCACAAGAGCCGCCTTTTCACGAGAGATCTTGCAGCCGCAGTCGTTATCGATGGCAGAACAAAAGCTGGGCACTGGCATCCTTCAGGCCATCGATCACCTGAGATACAATACCTTTCTGCCGAAACTCCGCTGCCATCGATAAACTGAACGAGGTGAACGCCTTCAGAGAACCGTAGGTTAGAGAAAGCCTCCAGGGCATGCACCCTCACGAAAGACGCGGCAAAACTGCAACCTGCGATCACCCCGTTCAGGGCGTAGGATGGCCCCGTGACGAAGCCTGCTAAGCACACAAACCGAGACGAACGATACGCTGATATGGCCTATCTGAAAATGGGGGCGGGAAAGCCAAGCATCTCGCAGTGCTGCTCTATGCGGACCATGCGGATTGCTTCGTAGGGCTTCGAGATATCCCACAATAGCGTCGCCGAGACCTGACCTTGAGCAATTCCCGCCTCCCCCATGAAACTCTGTCTCCAAACCGCATCGCTTGCTGAAGCAAAAGCCTGGCCAGCGTAGAAACTCCGCTGGTGGTTGAGCTCCCACTCCAACGCGAAACAGCGGCGGCACCTGCCCCACCAGCGGTAGAGCGAACAAAATAGGCCGATCGGCCTCCAGCCGCCCGAAGCCTTCATCAGCAGCGCGAGCTGCGCCACTTGAAGTTGGGCTGGAAGGTTCGATATCATTCCCATGGCGCAAGCGATGAGACAGACAACCTGCAAGCAGTCGTCGCTCACCCAGCTATAATGCTTCACATGAATACCACCCATCCCACAAGCGGTCCTGAGGGAATGCTTCCTGGAGACACCTCGCACAACATCAAGAGACAAGAGGGGCAGGGGCTCCAGGAGTTTAGCGCACCACTGAGGCCGGGGCTGGCTAGACGCCTGCCGCAGACCTGAAAATATTCCAGCCTGACCACGGACCGAGGACAGGGGGCCCGAAACCACAACCCCCGAAGAACTCAACGTCGTCGAGGGTTTCCAGCCTGCCGCAGGCCGACGGGCCAGGTGGGCGTTTCTCCCCCCAAGTTCGATATTGTGTCTCAACCAGCGTTTCCAACCCATGGCTTCTTCGGTCCTGGCACGCTGCTGAGCTGCTGCCGCCGCGGCGTCCAGCCACACTGAAAGATCAGCGAGCTGAATAGGCTGGTCCTGCATGGGGCTACCAGCAGCAGATGGGGCGACATACTGTTCTGCCACTAAATTTCGAGACTGCGTCGGGCAAGCGAGGAGGCGAGGAAACCCTTGATCGCCGAAACTTGCACCAAAACCTTCAGATTCGGCCCCTTCCAGGTAAGCAAAGGGGGCCGCAAACTCAGCATCGAGCGATACGAGCGGCGTCGGAACTCGCCGCTCCTGCTGCGGCTGCGGGCCAGGGGCGTCGCGAGCCCCCGACCCAGAACAGCCATCGTCGATAATCCTAGAAGACTCACGCTCAAAAAACTGCTTGGACCCTTGGACGCAGGCCTGCCGAACAAACTATTGGCAACGACTCACCAGCTCTTGACAGCGCGCGAGCCCGAGTCCAGCTTCGCTGGGAGGTTCCAGCAATAGAGAGGCTTTGATCCCGAGCTCCTTCGTAGCAGGCGGGGCCGCTGCCCACTTCCTGGCAGTGATGTGGAACCACTTGATGGCGAACAACTCAGGGTGACGGCCTTTGCAAGCGTCAACCTTGAAGACGGGAACCCACTGCAGTCTAAGCATTTTCCACCTCGCCCCGAAGTACGGGAGGGTGGCATGCGCAGCATCAGCGACCTCGACCTCCGCCAGACGAGCCCAGCGCCCATACAGACGAGTGAACCTGGCAGTGGCATCCCCGATGTCCTCCCCAGGCACCAAAGAGTCAACCAAACCCCTGGCCATGTTGAGGGCCCTAGCCCAACAGGGGGGGGCGGCGGCTCGGGCCGACAGGCCTCACGGGCGAAACCGGCGGGGGCTTAGCAAAGGCCAAGGTTTGCAGAGAGCAGGCCTTGGGGTAAAGGGTAAGGTGCACAAGGGAGTGGGGGGGGATGTTGGAGGTTTGAATCTCATCCACAGCCTGAATGATCTTGTACATGCCAGACTGACCACGAAAATGTTCAGAATTTTGGGACCCCCAGTAGTCATACAGGTCCCTGCGCACTCAGGAGAAACCACGTCACCCAAGAGCTTCTCTGGAAAACCGCTTCCTATGATCTCATCTGGCGCCATATTGAAATCCCCCGCGACCACTGCCTCAGTGGAATACAGCGTGGCCACCGCACCTACAGCACTGGGAATGTTGACGTTCCGATCCGTCAGTCCTTCAGAATGATGGACGTAGACCGAGCCGAAGAAGAAAGGATGAGCAGCGCTCCCAGGTAAGTGTACCAACCCGCCGATAGCCCCTCCTCATCCTCCTCGTCCTCCTCGTCCTCCGCCTCCTCCTCCTCGTCCTCCTCCTCCTCCTCCTCCTCCTCCTCCTCCTCCTCCTCCTCCTCCTCCTCCTCCCCCCCCCGCCCTCCATCCCGTCTCCTTAAAGATAACTCCGCACCCCCAAGCGTGTCTGTAGGGCGGGCCGGGCGTTTCGCCTGAGACTTCCTCGCCACTAGTGATCCTGAAGCTTGAAAGAAATTTGCAACAGCTTCACTGGTGGAGAGGGGGTCCTTGTCGAAATATGGTTCTCGCCTTGGCGCCGTTTGCATTCGTCTTGACAGTTTAAAAGAATTGTTTCACGGGGGGGAGGGCGGATCCTTGCAAACATGTGGCTCTCGCCTTAGAAACACGCGCGCATTCTTCTTGAGAGCTTACAGCAACATCACGGATGGAGGGCGTGTCGTTTTCAAAATGTGGCTCTCGCCTCAGCGCCGCGCACATTCGTCTTAAACGCTTGCATCACATTCTAGGATGAAGGGTGGCTCCTTTTGAAGATGTGGTTCTCGCCTTAGCGCCGCGCACATTCGTCTTAAAAGTTTGCAGCGGTGTAAAGGACTCGTTTGGTCGAATTCCCAGGAACTGCGTCGCGGCGTTGGTCCCAGGAGCTGTGTTTTGGCAAAGTTGAGGATACTCAGACGGTTGTCATCTAATGGGTCACTTTCCGCAATGAAGATATATTCTTGTAGGGAGCTATGAAGATGAAACTTGGAGGGAGGGTTTACTGCAACATCATGATGGGTCCTGGGTTTACAGTTTACACTTGTCCTCCTCATCCTCGTCCTCCTTCTCCTCCTTCTCCTCCCTTTCCTCCTCCTCCTCCTCCTCCTCCTCCTCCTACTCCTCCTCCTCCTATAAACTCCTCCTCCTCCTCCTCCTCCTCCTCCCCCTCCTCCTCCTCCTCCACCTGCTCCCTCTCCCCCTCCTCCTCGATACGTATCCGAGGGAAGTCGTATCATGTACCACTTGGGTATAATGTTGTATCCTCCTCTTCTCATCCTCCTGCTCCATCTTCAGCATCATAATTATATCCTCCTCCTCCCTCCTCCTCCTCCTCCTCCTCCTCTTCCTCCTCCTCCTCCTCCTCCTCCTCCCTCATAACATCGACAACACATCATCATCATCATCATCATCATCAACATCATCCCCTCATCATCATCATCATCATCATCATCTCCATCATCATCATCATCATCATCACATCATCATCATCATCATCATCATCATCATCATATACCATCATCATCATCATCAAACATCATCATCATCATCATCATCATCTTCATCATCATCATCATCATCATTCATCATCATCATCATCATCATCATCATCATCCATTCATCATCATCATCATCATCATCATCATCATCACATCACTATCTCATCATCATCATCATCATCATCATCATCATCATCATCATCATCATCATCATCATCATCATCATCATCATCATCATCATCATCATCAGCATCATCATCATCATCCTTCTCTTCCTCTGGCTCCTCCTCCTCCTCCTCGTCGTCCTCCTCCTCCTCTGTCTCTTCGTTCCCACTCTCGGGCGCCAACTTTGCGCCTGCACCGATCATGACCAGGCCACTCCTGGGCCCAAGCCGGGAGATGCCCTCAGCCCTGCATGAACCAGAACTGGGTCGTGGTGGCGCCCTTGTAGGGAAACAGCGGCTCATCGCCAGCGGGGTTGTTCAGTCTCCAGGTGTCCGCGATGAGGGCGCCGGCCACGGCGATCCACAGACACATTGGGACGAGCTGGCAAGGCCACGAGGGGTGCGCACGGGCGGCCCCTGGAGCCGGCCAGGTCCTGGCCTCACCAGGCCAGCCTGGGCTGGGTCGAATCGCGAAGGCGGGTTACATCGGAAGACGGAGTGGACCGCCAGAAGGGCCGTCCCGAATCGGCATCGCACCGCCGCGCCTGGCTCCGCACCGCCCCGGCCGATGCCGACGAATCGAGTGGGATCGGATTCTGGGTGAACGAAGAATGGCAGAAACACAAAAAAACTCGGAGGTCCGCGCGGATTTCTCGGATCGGCGGTGGACCCTCCTCCCTGGCGCGCGGAGCGCGCCGGAGGCGGCGCCAGCGGGCCCCAGCGCCGATCCGAGGAATCCGCGCGGACCTCCAAGTTGTTTATGTTCATGTCGTTCTTCGTTCTCCTAGACTCCGATTCGGCATGAAGACGAAAACAGGGGAAAACGAAATCTTCGCGGCCCCAAGTGGCGAAAACGACGACGACAATAACGATCATGATGACCACACTGATGACGACAATGACGATAATGAGGACGATGATGACGGGTTCGCGGCCCCCGCTGGCGAGGCGAAGCGCGTCGAGTCGGGCCGCGGGAGGCCCTGGCAAGAGACCCTGGGCTGGCCCAGCAGGGCGACCTCAGCACCCCGAGGGGAGCGCCGCCTCTCCGATCGAAGGGGCCCCCCTCCTCCTCCTCCTCCTCCTCCTCCTCCTCCCCCTCCTCCTCCTCCTCCTCCTCCTCCTCCTCCTCGTCCTCGTCCTCCTCCTCCTCCTCCTCCTCCTCCTCCTCCTCCTTCTCGTCCTCCTCCTCATCCTCCTCGTCCTCCTCCTCCTCTTCCTCCTCCTTGTCCTCCTCCTCCTTCTCCTCCTCCTCCTCCTCCTCCTCCTCTTCCTCGTCGTTTTCGTCCAGAGCAGAGTTGAGGTCGCCCTGTGCTCATCGGCGACTTCGAAGGGTGTGGTTCGGAAAAAGTGTGGTTTTTAGCATTGGGGGAAACGGGGTCGTCGTCGTCGTCGTCGTCGTCGTCGTCGTCGTCGTCGTCGTCGTCGTCGTCATGAGGGAAGCGGGTCCTGGACCCTGGTGCCTCCCCCCATGACGAGTTGTTCATCCTGAGCCGTTCTCTGGCAGTCCTGGGGGTCGTCGAGAGCCCCGAGGGCCCAAAAACCGAGACAAACCTCAGGATCCGTTCCCCTCAGGGCCCGTTTTCCCTTGTGGGGGGGACGGGCGAGGGCCTCGACGGAGATCTCCGCCGCGCCCCGACGAGGGCTCTCATCGTACCTCTGGCGCAGCGTGGTGGCCCCCTTGGAGCCCCGACGGCGCCGATCGCAAACCACACCCTGGCGCAACCACACCCGGTGTACTCGCCGAGGTAGTCCCTCGAGGAGGAGGAGGAGGAGGAGGAGGAGGAGGAGGAGGAGGAGGAGGAGGAGGAGGGAGGGAGGGAGGGAGGGAGGGAGGGAGGGAGGGAGGGAGGAGGAGGATGGAGAGGAAGGAGGAAGAGGGTGAGGGAAAACTAAGGAGTGAGGAGGAGGAGGGAGGAGGAGGAGGAAGAGGAGGAGGATGAGGAGGAGGAGGAGGAGGAGGAGGAGGAGGGGGAAGAGGAGGCTGGCTGGGACGGCTGCGTCCCTGGGCTGCCCCCAGAGCCCCAACGCCTCGACAGATGGAACGCCGCGGCCCTGCGCAGCTTTCGGCCTCTGGGGGCTCTCGCCAGGCCCCAGGGCTGAGGGGCAACGATAGGGGGGGACTGGCATAGGGGGGGGTGGTGCATCGACCTAGAATCGGCGATATAGAAGGGGCCTTGACCTAAGGAACCCTAAATCCGCCGGCCCCCTTGTGGGGCCACCAGGCTGTAGGACCGTGATTCGCAGTTTCCTGTACCAGTTGTAGTTTGTAGTTTCCAGTGTTACAGTTCTGCTTCTTGCTGGTTACTGTAACTAGTTGACTTCTTGCTGGTTACTGTAACTAGTTGATAGTTGATTGACCGCGCGAGGGGGGGGAGGCCCAAACAAGACTTTTAGCCTCCCCTGGGCGCGTTGTCTGAATTGCTGGGTGGACTCGAAATCGACACCCCTCACGCAGACCCGCGGGGTCAGGGTCCAAAAGCACAGGGGATTTGCCACATTTCTGAAATTCGGTGCCACCCCTCACGCAGATCCGCGGGGTCAGGGTCCAAAAACACATGGGATTTGCCACATTTCTGAAATTCGGTGCCACCCCTCACGCAGATCCGCGGGGTCAGGGTCCAAAAACACATGTGATTTGCCACATTTCTGAAATTCGGTGCCACCCCTCACGCAGGTCCGCGGGGTCAGGGTCCAAAAACACATGGGATTTGCCACATTTCTGAAATTCGGTGCCACCCCTCACGCAGATCCGCGGGGTCAGGGTCCAAAAACCCAGGGGATTTGCCACATGTCTGAAATTCGGTGCCACCCCTCACGCAGATCCGCGGGGTCAGGGTCCAAAAACACAGGGGATTTGCCACATTTCTGAAATTCGAACCCATCACGCACATCCATCGCAAGGCGTGGTAACCCAAACTGCGAGAACTCCCTCGGCCCTTTCATCGCAAGGTGTGGTAACCAAGCCCTTAAACCATACACGTCTTACCAATCGCCAGGTGTGGAAACCCCTCTTGTGATCAGTTGGTTTTGCTGATTGCGACTCGGCTTCGCATGAAGTTTCGATACTGCTTCACGACAGCGCCAAGGCCTCATGACTTAGCTCTTCTATGGCCCATTCTCCGAGAGAGGGGGCCGGCGGCAGGGGGCGAAGCCCTTACGGATAAGGAACGAGGCCCATTTTTCCCATAAGTTCAACCTCGATTTCCCATGGAAAACCTCAGGATAACCCGAGGTAAACTTTGAAACAAACAAGGAACACCGAGCCCCTACCCAACGAAAAGGGTTCCTTCCTCAGTGCCCCGACTGTACATCGCCAAGAGATCGGCGATATGCCCCCAATCGTGAATCCGCACCTGCCTGGGCAGGTTGGGGCCGTCGGGCCCCTATCGGCGTTCAATGGGCGGTTGCCAAGAAGGGGGCGTCCAAAAGGGGGGGGCGCAAATCATGGCCGGCGGCATGTGCGCGGCCCAGGGGGGGGCCAGGGACGCAATGAAATGAGAAGAGGCGCCATGAAATCAAAGGAAATATCATGGCCCACGCCGTGATATCCATGCCCCCTAGTCATCCTCCCCCCTCCAGGCCGCCCCCGACTAATGCTATCACCCCTATCTTTGCCCCGAAGGCCGTACAAGACGACTCTGATGCAAAGCAGGTCCTTGGGGAGGGGTCAGGACGACTTCTGCGGGCCCCGGTTTGAAACGAAGCACATCGGCCAACTCGGCTTATGGCTCCTCCTCCTCCTCCTCCTCCTATCTCCTCCTCCTCCTCCTCCTCCTCCTCCTCCCCCTCCTCCTCCCCCTCTTCCTCCCCCTCCTCTCCTCCTTCCTCCCTCTCTTCCTAACTCCCCCTCCTCCTCTTCCTCCTCCTCCTCCTCCTCCTCCTCCTCTTTCCCCTCCTCCTCCTCCTCCTCCTCCTCCTCCTCCTCCTCCTCCTCCTCCTCTTCGTGCGCAACCCTCGCCCTTGCCAGGAGGAGCAGCTGGCCGGCGAGCGGGACGACCTGGTAGTACGAGTAGGCGGCGAACACCGCGGAGAGCCAGGTGCAGAACACCCCGGGCACAGCGGCGCCGAGCCTCAGAAAGCGCAAGGTTCGCGAGGGACTGCTTGCTAGAAGAAGAATAATAATACTAAGAAGAAGAAGAGGAAGAAGAATCAGAAGAAGAACAAACAAATAAGCATAATTTGTTGGCGCTCCGCGCGGAGCGCCAAAAGTTCATGTTTATGTGGTGCTTTCTTATTCGGCGCAGGGTTCGCTAGGTGAGCTTTTTTTGGTTCGGCGTTTCGGCATTGGGCGGAAAGGGGGGGGAGGGGTGGTGATTTGGCTCTGGACCTCTGCTGAATGCGACTGTTTGCAACAGGGCGTCCATTATGGGGGAGGCTCCACCTGCTCGAAACAGGCGCCCAAAAACAGCCAAGATCCACTCCAATGGTGGGGGAGGGGGGGGTGCGAGGATCCGCGCCGGTCGGCAAAAGAATAGATAAAAAACGCTCACTAGGGACTGGTCGCCCCCTAGGACGACCCAAACCCTCCTGAAACCCATCCGGAACCTTCCGAAGCGCCTCCCGGAGCCCTTCGGGGAGGACCCTCGATGGAATTCGGGGAGGTTTCGGCCCTGTTTGGGGGGAACCAATACCTACGGGACCCTGGATTTTCCAGGCAGAGCCTCCTCTCCACGTTGTTGATTGTGTTCCAGGTGTCTCCGACGCAGAGGTGCAGCATCAGGGCCAGGATGGTGGCGTCGCAGAGGTGCCCAACCTGCTGCCAGACGAGCACCGAGGACGCCGCCCGCAGTGGGCCGATGATCAGGACCCACATGATGGGGAAGAACACCTACAGGGGCTCAAGGGTACACACATAGAAAGAAACAAATCCAAGGATCCCCCATATGCTTACTGTAGTTTTCGTCTTCCCCTCCACTCCATTCCCAATATCTTCTAATCTGTTGCTGGAGGTCGACTTTTACTCGCGTGCGTGTCTGCTTTTCTCTCCTGATAACCCCGGGGGGGGTCCAGCTCGGCATCACGCGGTCGTTGAAGCCGCGCGAGGTCTCGCCCTGCCAGCGCGACGAGATCTAGACATCTCCTCCGCCCCTGGCCGGGCCCATCCTGAGCTCAGGTGCGGTGCACAGAGGAACAACACACGGCACAACCATGAACTTTCGACTTTCGGAGCTCCGCGCCGATTTCTTGGATCGGCGCTGGATCCCCCCTCCCTGGCGCGCGGCGCGCGCCAGGGGTGGCGCCGGAGGCGCCGCCAGGGGGGGCCCGGCGCCGATCCAAGATATCCGCGCGGAGCTCCGAAGGCTCCACGCTTCTGCAGCTCTGTGCTCCTCGAGTGCACGCGCGGCCCCTTCAAGACGAAGCCAGGGGCGAGGAGCACATCGGGCGGAGGTGCAGCGAACATCTCCAAGGTCCGGCGGCTCCGGAGGACGTCTCGGGCGCCGCGGCCTTCTCGGAGCGTGCCGGAGCGCCCTGAGAGCCTGCTGGAACGCTCTGGGCGGGACTCGGCCTCGTCCTGGCCCCGTCCGGCCCTTGCGCTTGGCCAGGGGGGCGCGCGCACCAGCCCCAGGCCCGAGCTCAGCCTGGGCTCTCAGGGGCGGCGGAGGTGCACACGCCCCGCCGCCCAGCCTGCGCCGCCTTCGCGGCGTCGGGCCGGGAGTTGTCCAGCGGAGAGAAGATGCGCGAGCGCAGCGCCATGCCTGGGGGAGCAGAAAGCGGCACTGACCCAGACTCTTGGGGCTCCGCGCGGACTTCTTGGATCGGCGCTGGATTCCCCCCCACCCCTCCTACCTGGCGCGCGGAGCCCGCCAGGGGGATCCCAGCGCCGATCCGAGAGATTCGCGCGGGAGAAAGGAGGAGGAGGCGGAGGAGAAGGAGGAGGAGGAGGAGGAGGGGGAGGAGGAGGAGGCGGAGGAGGGGTAGGCGGCGGAGGAGGAGGAGGAGGAGGAGGAGGAGGAGGAGGAGGAGGAGGGTGAGGAGGAGGAGGGGGAGGAGGAGTGGGAGAGAGGTAGGAGAGGCAGGAGGCTAAGGAGGCGGGCGGGAGGAGGAGGAGGAGGAGGAGGAGGAGGAGAAGGAGGAGGAGGAGATGATTCAGGTCATTTTTCGGCTTCGAATGCCGTAGAACAGCAGGAAGGCGGCCCAGTCCGGGACCGAGGCCACCGCCGCGGGCCCGAGGGCAAGGTCCAGCGCCGCGAAGAACGCCGCGACCAACGAGAGCTGCAGCACCACGGCCCCCAAGTACTTCACAAGCGCGTCCGTGTCGAGCTCCTCTCGGCGGTGCTGGGGATCGATCTTCCTCCCTTCTCCTCCTCCTCCTCCTCCTCCTCCTCCTTCCCTCCTCCTCAGTCCTCCACCTCCTCCTCCCTCCTCACTCCTCACCCTCCTCCTCGTCCTTCGCCTCCGTCTTCCTCCTCCTCCCTCCTCCTCCTCCTCCTCCTCACTCCTATCCTCTTTCTCCTCCTCCTCCTCCTCCTCCTCATCCTCCTTCTCCTCCTCACTCTCATCCTCTTCCTCCTCCTCCCCGGAGGACCTGGGGGACGGGGCCCCGAAGATGCGGATGGGATCCCAAGGGGAAGCTCCACAGATTGAGGCCACTCGCTCCCAGACATGCGACGTCCTGATTTTGTCCACTGCGGGCCCCCTCCTCCTCCTCCTCCTGCTTCTCTTCCTCCTCCTCCGCCTCCTCCTCCGCCGCCGCCGCAGCCGCCTCCGCCTCCTCCTCTTCCTCCTCCTCCTCCTGCTTCCTCTCCTCCTCCTCCTCCTCATCCATCCTCTTTTCCTCCTCCTTTTTCCTCCTCCTCCTC